CCGCCAGCGCCCGTCCGTCACGGCGCCCTGCGCCCCTGCCTGTGTCATCACGACCACACCAGAGACCCCTTTTCTGGAAAGTTCTCTGGGAGCTGACGGGCAGCGTCCCGAGGCCCCAGCCCCCTGCCCTGCCGCTGCGGCCTCCGCTGTCTCCCCAGCCGCGCGCTGCCCTTGCGTTCCTCCCAGTGATGTGTTGGAAGGTTCCAGAAGAGAAGGGCAGGGGCGGGGAGGGAGGACTGGCTGGCATGTGGGGGCCCCCACCTCGGCCTCCCCGGGGGAGGGGAGACCCGGCCCGGGCTCGAACTCGGGGCCCAGGGCTGTGCCAAGCGTGGGCGCCCCGAGCCGGCCGGCGCTCCACCGCGGGAGCCGCAGCACCACCTTCGCTCCTCGAGTGATTCAGTGGAGGGAGTCGCCGCCCAGAGCTCCGGCCCAGGCGGGCTGCGGCCCGACCCTCAGACCCCAGCCCCCCGAGCCTCTGGGACGACAGGCGGGAGCTGTGGGCGGCCGGGCTGGGGCGGCGTTGAGACGGGGCCCTGCGCCACGGGCCGGCACTCTGCGGCCCCAGGTGTGTGACCGGGGCCCGCGGCTTCCTTGCGCCCAGCCCGGGGCGCAGGGCAGAGGCGGGGAACGGGGCCGGGGCCCAGCCCAGGGCCCCCAAATGCCCCCACCCATCGCAAGAAAGGCCCCAAGTCCGCATCCAGAGCGCCCGTGGCCGCCCGCTGAGCCCCACCTTCCCTTGCAGTTCTGCAATGAGGAGCAGCAGCTGGCCTGGGCCAAGCGGGAGAGCGCCAAGGCGGAGCAGGAGCGGCTGGCGCGGCTGCGGCGGCAGGAGCAGGAGGACCTGGAGCTGGCCATCGCGCTCAGCAAGGCCGACATGCCCGCCTAGCACGCGCACGCGCACTCCTTGTACAAAATGAAGTTTGAATGATTAATATAATATTTTAATACAAAACGCCCAGGCCTTCTCTCCTTTCTCCCAGAAGCCCGGGGCGCGCGGCGGCTGCCGGGTGGGGGAGGCCGGGGTCGGAGGCCCCGGGTGGAGAGGCCGGGACACTGCAGGATGATGTTTTCACGGCTGAAAGCAGGAAGTTTGTCTTAAATTTGTGGTGCTGGTCACGGGGCCTGAACTCGGGGCTGGGCGCTGTCCCTGAGCTCCTCAGCTCAAGGCGAGCGCTCCACCCCTTGAGCCACAGCGCCACTTCGGGCTTTTTCTGTGTGTGTGGTGCTGAGGAATCGAACCCAGGGCCTCAGGCATGCGAGGCAAGCGCTCCGCCTCGGAGCCGCCTATCGGCTTCCTGTTGTCTTTGTGACGTCAGCGCGGCCTGAGCCGCTGGGGGAGCCTGGCCGGCCACGGGGACCAGGAACAAAGCGGGGCGGGGGGGGGGCGCTGGGGGGCAGCACCTCAGGCCCAGATTTTGTGGGGCACCCTGGACCCTGCCCCCCATCTGGGGCCCCTCCCGGAAGCTCCCTCTGTTCATCTCTTTGTTTCTGGCTTTTCATAACATTTTTTAGGACCATTTTAGATTTGTAGAAAGTTCTAGGCCCTCCTGGGGCGCCCGGAAGCCCCGCCCCAGCCAGCTCCCTATTTTTAGCCCCGGCCATCCAGTGCGGTGCTGGGTCACCACGGCCTGTGACCTCCACCTGCAGCCCATGATGTGACCTTCACCCTGACCTTGACCCCGACCCTGAGAGGAGAGGGGGGGGGATTGCGTTAGTTTTTTTGGGTTTTTCTTGTCGGTACTGGGATTTAAACTCAGAGCATGCATGCGCATGCACACACGCACATACACACGCACACACACATGTCCTGGGTCCTGGCTGGCACTTGGCCCTGCAGCACTTCCCGCCTTCCTCCTGCGCTTTTCCCTCCATCTGGCCTCCAGGCGCCGTCCTCTGGCCTCAGCCTCCTGCCGGGCTGACACGGCCCTGGCTGGTCCTCAAGGCTCTCCCTGGCGGGGAGAGCTGGGTGGGGAAGGCCAAGGCCCATGCCTCTGGCCAGGCCCAGCAATGGCGTGGGGGACACAGCGGAACCCCATCTTCAAAGCCAGGGTCGCCCTGCACCCGCGCCTGGCCAGCCCGGCACTGCTATTTTAAGGCTGTACAGGAAAGGTCCAGAAACAAAGGGCTGTCCTCCCCATTCCCCCCCCCATCCTCCCCGTCCCCCCTCCCCGTCTTCCCATCTCCCCCTCCCCCCGTCCTCCC